TTCCCGACCGTTGACTCCTATTTCTGACGATCCAAATGATCTAGCTGCATTAACACCTGGTCATTTTCTTGTGGGAGAACCATTAACGGCACAGGTTGACCCATCAGCGAACCAATCGTCAACATCATTGACAAGCAGATGGAAGGTCGTATCTCAAATTAGGCATGAGTTTTGGAAACGTTGGTCCACGGAGTACTTAAATACTCTGCAAGAAAGAAGGAAATGGAGTACACCATCTCCAAACGTGGAACCTGGTCAATTGGTCATTATTAAGGAAGATAACATGCCTGTAATGCAGTGGCCGCTAGGCAGAATAACCCGAACATATAAGGGCAACGATGGAGCCGTTCGTGTAGTCGACGTAAAGACACAAAACGGCGAAATTAAAAGAGCTATAACCAGATTAGCTCCTTTATGGAAAAAGGAAAAGGAACCTCTTCCGCCTATAGAGACCAAGAGTAGGAGTGAAGAGCCATCTCCAAAGCGATTGAAGACGTCAAGCAGCATGCTAGTATCGATGATGCTTGTGGCTTTACTATTTTTACCTCTATGCTTGTGTCATTCGTTCAACATACACAAGTTTGAGAATAAGCCCGGCATCTATTTTGAAGGAATTGGAATCACAAAAGTAGTAACAGCAGAGTGGAAACTGATCACTTATTATGATCTTTCCCCATTTTGGGCAGATATGGATGGCTTTTCTACCGGGATAGGAACCCTTCAGAAGTTGTGTAAGATAGCAGTTGAGAACAGAAGCTGTGAGATACTTTCAGAAAATCTTATTCAAGTACAAAAGCAGTTGGAATCAAATACACTGAACATATTCCCCAGGCGCATCAGGAGAGGAGCTCTAAACATAGTCGGGAACCTCGCACACTCGTTATTTGGTGTCTTGGATTCGGAATATGCGGAGCAAATGACTGTGACAATTGAGAAGGCAAATGAAGACAAGCAACATTTGTTGGATCTTCTAAAAAATCAGACATCTATTATTGATTCAACAATCAACATAATTAGAAAGGACGAAGATACGAGCCAAAGGAACTTCGGCAACATGCAAGTGGAGATGAACCTTTTGGCAAATAAGGTGAAGAAAGAAGAAGATGTTGTAAAGACAACACAATCAATTATGTTTCTCACTTCACAGCTCATGCTACTTTCATCAAGGTTGAAACATATAGAAGATAACTTAATCGACGTTTTAACGGATGCTCATCATGGTCGGATAAGTCCGTTGCTACTTACGCCACATCAATTGCTACAAGAGCTCCAAACCATCAAGGCTCACATTCCTCCATCTCGTGCTCTACCCGTTCGCGAAGATAATGTTTCGGATTTCTTCAAATTAATGAAGAGTAAGGGAAGGGTTATTAAGAACCATATCATATTCGAGATTCGCCTTCCATTAGTGGATCTCCAGCAGTATGATTTATTCAAAATGATCCCCGTACCTATGCTACGATCCGGTCGATTTATTTCAATAGCTTTGAAATCAACATTATTGGCAGCTAACGTCCATCGGGATGAGTTCATATCGCTAACCGCAGAAGAAATGAACAGCTGCATACATACCACAAATGACGTTTTTATTTGCGACAACCAAGCGAAATTTAGCAAAGGCGATCGATCACATTTATGCGAGGTGATTTTCTTATTGAACAAATCGTCAGAAGCGTGCGACTTGCAATCGACCATGCACCACCAAACTTGGAGACAAATGGAACAAAAGAATAAATGGATGTTTACTCTAGCCAATTTAACAGAATTGTCCTTTGTTTGTGGTACAAAAATGACACACCTGGAGGTGCAAGGAGCTGGAACTTTAGAAATTGGGCCAGGCTGCATTTTAAAAGACAACACATTTACAATATACGGTCACTACGAAAACAAAACAACAGTGCACACATCATATCTGAGACTTAAGCCACTGGATTCAATAATCTCAAGCAGTAAGCTTGTCTTGCTCAACAAAACATTAAACAGCACCTATGAAACACATGCTGCTGAACTCGTCACCTTACACCAACAGCTAAAAACTATTGAAATCGGACGCCTTCCACAATTAATGAAATCGACGGCCATTCACCATCATACCATCAGCTATCTAGCTCTTTGCATTGGAATTGGAGTAGCCATATACGTCATTGTCAAGTTTCGCCACCACAGAACTTCCAACAATAACATGAACCCAACACCTACCCCTCGGCAGTCAGTCTCATCATCATACGTCATTGACCAGACAGTTTCTTGAACGTTCCTCGTTCAACGTGGGGGAGAATGTTCAAAAGAACATATTTTACTAACACATTTTTAATTTTGTTTTTATTATTATTTTATTCTATGTCAGCATATAACTGACCTATATAATTATTGTTTGCCTTATGCAGGCCAATAGCCTAAATAAAGAAACACCTCGATTGGTTTCACATTGCATGGGTTATTGGCTGAAGTAATTTATTGCTTAGTTAACTTTAAATGCTAGTTTTAATGAATTCAAAAATGTATAAATAGAAAGCAAAAATAAATTTTCTTGGTAGATTACAAGAAATTGTAAACATACCAAGGTTACACAATTCAAGTGTTGTGTATATCTGCTTTAATTAATATTAATAAACAACCATTTTAAAATAATTATTAACTCAAGCTTACAAAGTGATCACAAATTGTAGCTGAAAACGCCGAAAAGTCAATATTTAAGGAGTTATGGACATTTTAATAAAATACCTTATAGCTGATAGCTTCTGGCAACTGCTGTATGTCCCCTTAATAAATTCGCATGAAGAACATAATATTCAAAATTACCACATTTTAACCACCTACGCTTGAAATAGTAGATATTCGTTTCTACAGAACCACGCTACTGCAGAACTACGCTAAGAAACATTAATGAAAACCGAACGAGAGTAGCCACACAAATATTGCGAACGACAACAAATCCACATTGCAGACATTACCATTTTTATATAAAATCTTGGGGAAGCAAATAACTGGACATAAATTACAATTAACTTGTTTTGTTTTCAAACGAATTGGGTGATTATTAAACTTCTAATTGCGTTTTTGTTGTCGTCTGAGATTATTTGATAATTAATAAAATAAAAAAATGTTAAAAATGTGGGTGTTAAACATTTGCAGTCTGTTGTGGTTCATTACCTCACAGCAAATAATTAGAATTTCATTTCAACACAAATAATAATTACCGGAAAAATCCATCAGATTATGAAATAGATCTGAAACAAGTAAAAAAGTTGTAAGTTCGTGAATACCCTCCACCACTTGGTACAAATGTAGCAATTTTCAAAAAAAATAAATCCGTTAAAAATTCTGTTAAAATCTTAAAAATACCGAATGTAGCCATATATTAGGATCTATACGACGACGTGAACCTACATATGCAACTTTTGTCACAAGCTATTACAATATTCAAATGCGTAACTTGAAAAAAAATCTGTTTATAATGTAGCTAAAATCATCAAAATACCGAATATAGGGTGGTACCATGGGGGTTATAAAACGTAGACCTGCACAGAAAATTTTCTGGCATAGGCTGTAGTATCCATTACGAACTTCAAATACAAAATGTGAAATAGTTCCGGTAAATAATGTCTCTAAAATCATCAAAATACCGAATATCGGGAGGTACCGTTATATGGGGGCTATACGATGACGTGGACCTACATGGTTCATTTTCTGTTTAATGCTGTAGTATCTGTTACGAACTTTAAATGCCAAATTTAAAACACTTCCGGTAAATAATGTCGCCAAAATCATCAAAATACTGAATATCGGGAGGTACCGTTATATGGGGGCTATACGAACATGTGGACCTACATGGCCCATTTTCAATTCTGCAGACATAATACACATTTGAGTAAAATTTTATCAACCTACTTCATTTCGTTCGGAAGCTAGAGTTATTTCCACGGACGGACATTGCTAAATCGACATAGAATTTTATGCTGATCAAGAATATATACATTGTGGGGTCTAAAATGTATATTTCGTGGTATTACAAACGGAATGACAAACTTAATATACCCTCCATACTATGGTGGAGGGTATAATAAAGAAGACACGTGTATCGCCAATTCGAAAGTTTACATTGCAAAGTAACCTAAACAGGTTGGAAAGTTACCTTTTCTTCCCCCTTTTCGAAGTAAGATACCTTAAAATCCTTGCATTTAAGGCATATATTTTTATGCACTTCGCCATATATATGGGGTATATTAACTTTGTCATTCCGTTTGTAACTCCTTGAAATACTCATGTCAGACCTTAGAAAGTACACATATTCTGGATCAGCGTAAAATCAGCGGTAATTTTGGACGAATTTTTTTGAACATTTTTATTTTTTTTCTAAATGGTGGAGGATATTAAAGGTTCGGCCCGGCCGAAATTACCTGCTTTTTTTCTTGTTAAAACTCAAACGAGTCATTTCAAAATATGGTTAAAATCTCCCTTTAAAGGCGATCGTAGATGAATCAAAATATTCTACAAAATTATTGTTTTTTTTCGAACATCATAAAATTCTGCCATAGGCAAAGACCGAAAATGGTAAAGACTTAGACAAAATGATCTAAAACCGTTATTTCGATGAGATACGTTTTGGCCCTACCAAATGATATATACCCTCTGCAGCCATATGACTGAAAATATAGTAAAAACATCTCGATATCTGATATGAAACTTAAGTTATATAAACTGTCAAACGTAACAGTATACACCCGCATTTTTAAGCCGACCTCGTACCGAAATATTTTTGGAAGATTATTTTGATTGAGGAGTACAATTAACTTTGAGAAATTGAAAATGCAATAAAATCCAAAAAAAAAAGAAAGATTTAAGCATCACAAAAAACATTAACAACAGATGCGGAGATGTTGGCCAAAAACAGAAACGTTAAAATGTTAACGTACGCATTCACAAGCGCCAGGTAACACTTGCTCATCGCCATCGCCATCACCGAACTGTAGTTAGTCATTCATTTGAAGGCATTACAAAGAGACACATTAAAACGAGACTCTCCAAAGGCATTTAAAAAAACCAGTTTATTTGGTAATAACAAAAAAAAAAATTCGAATCAAAATTTAATTGAAGTTGCTTTGCAAATAAAAGGGATAGGCGAAAAGATGGCATTCTTGTAAAAAAGGAAATGCTGAAGATAAAACCACCACCAATGAAAATTGCTTCGATTTGGAAAAATTTGCTTTGTCTAATAACTGGATTTACAATAGGACTGTATTCGACATTTATTTGGTCAAATAATGCTCAATTGCTAGATGGTATTGTAACATCCAAACATGGTCTTAAAACTAGTTTCGGAGAGAGTTTTCATAACAACACACGAGTCCTTTGCTGGATTATGACACAACCAGAAAATCATCTCATCAAAGCAATACACATACGCCACACATGGGGCCGCCGATGCAATAAATTGCTCTTCATCAGCTCCAAGGAGGATAATGTTTTGCAAACGATCGCCCTGCCCGTTGAGGAAGGTCGTCAACATCTGTGGGAGAAAACCAAGTTGGCCCTGAAATATGTTTACGATCATCATTTAAATGATGCGGATTGGTTCCTGAAAGCCGACGATGATACGTAAGTTGTGTAATGAAGTCAAAATTCGCTATGATTCTAAAGGATATTCTATAAATTTGTAAGTATATATGTAAGAGGAGTAATAAGCTAGTGAGACAAATTGGGGCCTGTTAAACTTTTCGGAAAATTAAGGAAAACACAAGCAAACACGGAGTTCTCTTTGATTGAAAAATGAATGAAACAAAAGTAGTTACTCGAAGTCGACGTAAATTTGGGGTTCCCTAAACATGGACTGAATTCTAGTTCCATGAAAATATGATACAAAAATATTTCCGTTATACAATCTTTTAGTTGACAATGAACCAAGGTAAAATACTTTGTACGTCCGTATTACCCAAATACGTCTGGTCCTGGTTGGATCGAAATCATGCATATTATAACCTTTTTATACCCTCCACCATAGTATGGAGGGTGTATTAAGTTTGTCATTCCGTTTGTAACACCTCGAAATATACATTTTAGACCCCGCCAAGTAAATATATTCTTGATCAGCATAAAATTCTATGTCGATTTGGCGATGTCCGTCCGTTTATCCGTCTGTCAGTCTGTGGAAATCACTCTAGCTTCCTAACGCAATGAAGTAGATTGATAAAAGTTAACTCAAACGTGTATTATGTCTACATGACTTTTGGTTTTGAAAATGGGCCATATAGGTCCACGTTTTGGTATAGCCCCCATATAACGGTACCTCCCGATATTCAGTATTTTGATGATTTTAGCGATATAATTCTCCGGAATTGTTTCAAATTTGTTATTTAAAGTTTGTAATGGATACTACATCCTATGACAGAAAATTGTCTGTGCAGGTCCATGTCTTCTTATAGCCCCCATATAACGGTACCTCCCGATATTCGGTATTTTGATGATTTTAGCGACATTATTCGCCGGAATTGTTTCAAATTTGGTATTTGAAGTTTTAAATGGATACTACAGCCGAAATGGATACTACAGAAAATTGTCTTTCCACGTCTTTGTATAGCCCCCACATAACGATACCTCCCTATATTCGGTATTTTGATGATTGTAGCTACATTATTCATCGGAATTGTTTCAAATTTTGTATTTGAAGTTTGTAATGGATACTGCATCCTAAGGCAGAAAATTGTCTGTACAGGTCCACATTCTGGTATAGCTCCCATATAATAGTATCTCCCTATGTTGTTGATTTTAGCTACATTATTCAGAGATTTTTTTTTGAAATTTCGCATTTGAATATTGTAATGGCTTATGACAAATGTTGCCTACGCAGGTCCACGTCGTTGTTTCGACCCTAATATGACGGCTACATTTGGTATACTTAAGATTTTTACAGAATTTTTAACGGATTTTATTTTTTTTTTGAAAATTGCCAAATTCGTTCCGAGTGGTGGAGGGTATTTTTTATCTGTTGAAATTATTTATTTTTATATCTTCCACCATACTGCCATTCCATTTGTAACTTCTCGAAATACTCATCACCGTAAAATGTTATGATTGTTTTACTCAAAATTTTGACCCTTTGTGAGGGAGGTACTAAGCCGATTTGTCAATTTTCGCACCGGGGCTAGCACTGACGAAAATATTACAATTTGCAAAGTTGGAGCAAAATCGAAATCTTTCTATAAGGTAAATTATTTTCTTTGAAAATATTAAACTTTTGCGGGGGAGGTACCAGGAGAAGTTGACCGATGTTGCCTATCTCCGAACTCGATCTAAGTTTGACAATAATGTTGCGATGTATCAAGTTTGGACCAAATCCGATGCTCCCTTCGAGAGTTATCGTGTGCATCAGCCAGACATACGGACGGACCCCCATTAGATGGACTCCAAATGACCCGAAACGGATATGGTCCAAATAGATTTTGAGTCTAGAACCGCTATTTCGATAAGACTTGTTTTTGCCGTATGAAATGATATATTCCCTCTGTAGCCATTTGGCTAAGGATATAATTAGTTATTCGAAGCCGACTTAAATTGTGTTCAATCTAAGGCTGGGTTTTCAGGGTTTCTAAAGGGTACGAAATATACTAAAATGTACTAAAAATTGAAAACTTTGTATTGGATATTCGGTATGAGGAAGAATTCTGAAATTTGGAATCAGAGTCAACGATGGAGTGCAGGTTAGATGTATCAAAGGAAAATATGGAAATTCGAGCTAGAAGGTTACGAAAAGTTCTAAAATGGTATCATAGGTATTATGTGAACAGCTAAAATCTTGAAATATGGGAATTATGAGAATCAAGATTAGATAGTAAATTTGATATGTGAAGGTTGTTTTGGAAATGTGTACTAAGTGTGCGAACTGTACTAAATAGTACGAAGTTTGGAACAGTTCGGTTTTGGATGAACGGATGAAACTGGAATTTCGAAATTTTGTAATGGGGGTCTCTGTTGCTGGTAAGTTTGCCATTAAGAAGTGGTTTTGGAAAAGTATACTACAAGCGCACGAAAAGTACGGATCAGTATTATATTTTGTACTATTTGATATTGGGTGAACAGATAGTGCTTGAAATCTGAAATTTGACATAATGGTTGCTGTTCATGTATTACCTGGACATATGGAGATGGAATTCTCAAATTTAATATTGAGGTGTCTGTTGGTATCTGGATTTAAGATATGCATGTGGTTTTGGAAATATTTACTATAATTGTACGAAAAGTACTAAATTGCACTTAATTTGGTCTTATATGAAGGGATAGGGATAAAATTCTGACATTTTATATTTAGATAACTGTTGTTGTCTGGGATTGAGATATGGAGGTGGTTTCGGAAATGTTGATAGGAACAATTTTGAAATTTTAATATTATTTCAGATATATAATTATGGAGAACCTTCGCTCATTTCTTAGCTCACACTCGTCTAATGAACCCGTATACTTTGGTTGCAAGCTTCAGCAGCATTTACGACAGGTGTGTGCATTTTATGAAATCTTTTTTGATACTCGTTATAACTCCACGATCAAATTCCAGGGATACATGTCCGGTGGTGCCGGTTATGTTTTAAGTCGAAAAGCTTTAGAGACATTTACCACAGAAGCATATGAGAACGACAGTGTGTGTAGTCGCGAATTTCAAGCCGAAGATCTTCAGTTGGGCATGTGTTTGGAAAATATTGGTGTAGTCGCTGGAGATTCAAGAGATCCGGAGGGCATGGAACGTTTTATACCATTGGCACCCCACGATGTAATACGCAATATAAGATCGGAATGGTATTCACAATTAGTATATCATGAAAATAAGAAAGTGAGTTACGAAAAATCTGAAATGGCATTTTCTTTTCATTATTTAATTTTTTTTTCCAAATTTCAGAATGTCAGCTGTTGTTCGTCGGAAGTCATTTCATTCCACTACCTTATTCCCGAAGAGTTTTATGTCATGGAATATTTTCTCTACAAATTGAAACCACTTAACAAAGCTGACAATGGAAGACTGAATGCATCGCAAAGCTAAGATAATTTTGAGAAACATAAGAAAATCGAGAAAAATTGAAAATCGAATCAAAGAAGATTAGAATATATTTTATAACAGTATTGTTTATTGTAGTCAAATCTCTATTTGATAAGGAAATAACAACTCATACTCTACCATTAGAACCAAGAGGAAGATATGCCATAAAGTAAACCAATATTGAAGATGTTTAGTAATGGCCAAAAGTCAACGTAGGAACAAAATGTGAGCCCTGGAAAAGTCCAAAATTATATTGTCAAACAGTATTTTCAAACCCATTTTTATTCGAAAATCTTTAAAGGGCTAATTTAAATCTTTATATATAAATGTAAGTTGTGTTAGTTACTACGCTTATAACTTAAGAACCGCTGGATTAATTTTAACGATTCACACAAATTCGGAGTTGTCTACTCTCCGAAAAGGATAATATCCAAAAAAATCGCGTACAAATGTGATATATTAACATTTTCATTTTGACTTTTCAAATGTATAATAGTAATGTTTTATTTTGCATGATTTTTTTCCATTTTGACTTACTTTTTTCTAATGTACATTTGTAGTGTTTTTTTATATTTTATTTTTGAATTCGAATATTTATACCAATTTATTTAATTGACTTGATTTCTTGAGAACTGAAATTGATGGCGGGTTACATGGAAGTGTAGTAGCGAATTATGTGGTGGCGAAACGGAATAGATGATATGGAAATAATTTAACGCGGTCACACCAAAGTTAAAAGATAATTACTTTTTCTAAATCGCTGAAAAATCATGAAAAAGAGATCTCATTGCAAAAATTAAAAAAACATTTTCAATGGAATCGAATTTTAAAATAATAGTACATTCTATTGACAAACTTTGTAAGGAAGGATCTTAAAACATTTGCTGTAAAAAATCAGCGAAAAAGTTGAAGACTTTTTCAATTTGTTATTCTTTTTTTTTGTCAATTTTTTTTTTTCAATTTGTATTATCATATTGAATTCAGTGGATTTTTTGTGAACAAAATAAAGAATAATTTTTCACTAAAAAAATTAAATAAGTGCGAAATAGGATGTTAACTGACATCTACCTTTCAACTCCAGGGCCTACATCGTGGGTTAGCTGGAAGATGCGAACACATTTAAACAAACAAAAATGACCGAAAAAGCTTAATGGGGCCCATTTCAAAGCGTGGCAATGATCCGTCCAATGAGAGCTCAAAATGCAAAATTCTTTGGGAGAATAATAAGTAATATACCAATATTGAAATAAAAGGTGCAAAATAGTAGAGCGAATGGGACTTTTAGTAAGAAAAGGTTTTATATCCTTCCAGAAATTCTTCCCAAACATTCAAAATACCTAAAATCACTTTTGCAGGTCTTTATATCGATCATAACTCACGGATAAGGGAACAACCCGATTTCATATTTATATAACCATCTATGATTTAAGTTATTTTTGGGGTCTTGGCCTGCCACTTTTTTCATTTTTTGGCCCTTATTTGACATTTTTGTTTCTAAGGGGGTAGATAACCTCTTCGCATAAAATTTGAAATTTTCAGAGTAGGGCCCATATTGGTATTGATCACATTCATCAATTGATTTGGCTAAAAAATTTTATTTATGCCACCCTGGGGTAGGGAACCATCATACAGATAATTGCCACATAGCAATTTATTTAAGTAAAGTCCCCACATTGGAGTATCCCCAAGTCCACTTTCACATCTAATGTGTGGTCAGAAAAGAAAATTTTGTATTCTATTGAATTTTTAACCCCCAAGAGAATATTGGTTGGGAACGTAGATTTGGGATGTGCATCCATATGAAATAAATTGTGGAAACATGAACAAATTACAAATATAAGAAAGTAGCACGGGACCGAATATTTGTTTAATCATCATTGAATTATCCTATGATGAAAATATGGACTTTAAGGGGTCTCCAACTTACAATTTAAATGGCAAATAAAATTAATTCCCATCTTATCATTCTGCCCTCAATTATGAGGTGGATAAAACTATTTTTACTTATTTAAATCACGCGAAATGCTATGACATGCTATATTGTTCTGCTATATTTTTGATTTGGCCTCTATTTGTCATCTTGGATTATAAGGGGTAGAAGAAAGTTTTTAATGTAGGTTGATGTTTCGGAGTAGTGCCTATATAAAGAAGGTACCTCCTAATTTAACAACATTTCAAAGAATTTGGCTAATAATGCGTATTAGGGGGGTGAAAATCTTACACTAAAATTTCAACATATCTACAAATTTTAGAATTTTTATCCATGTTATAATACCCTCTCAAGTCCACCTTTTGGCGGACATTCAGCCCTCAATTATGTAGTATACAAAATACAGCAAATTCCAAATTACTGCTCATTTGACTGGAAGATTTTGCTACTATTTTTACCATATTAAAAATTAATTTGATCCCTTATATAGCGATAAGATAAGATTGATATATACTTTTTAATAGATTTGTATAGCACATCCACACAGTTGAAGCCCACGGTTTAAATATTGAAGCCCATTGGTTAAAAATGGGTACAGGTATTTTAAAACACTTAAAATCGACATGTACGTGAACACTTATATCAGTCATATATGTGAATAATTATGCTTGGGAAAATATGCATAATAGACAAAAACTACGGGCCGGCAACGCGGACCGGGCCAGCTAGTTTATAATACTTTTAACATCCATATATTTTGATGGCATAATTCTGGAGTATTCCCTCATTGGTATAACTTAATATTTATTACCCTGTTGGGGCTATTCCTCAACTTTACTAAGGTTGACCACCACGGATGCACATTCCCAGGCAAAACTTTCTGCCATCAACAAATACCCTTGCAACGATTTTAACTTGCCGTTTATGGCTATAGCAGACTTCTTTCTCAGTTGTTAATAAGCAACTAGAACTTCTCACCCGTAATGCACTTAGAAACACTGCATTTCTCTAAGGTAGGTGTAATTGATCGTTTCCAAAGTAAAGTAAGTAACAAAGTTTGTTTATTAGTGGAGAACGATGGTAATGTTTACCAGGGGGTAAGGCAGGGAATACCTAGGTTTCGGAAAGAGCCACCAATCCTCATCAGTTCCCTTGTTTTTGCCTGGGATATTCTCCCCAGAAGTTATTTTAAAAAATAACTTCTATGACAAAAAACATTTTTTACCCAAGTGACGAGATCGTAAGCTCAATAGAAGAGGAACCAAAGAATTAAATAAAACTAAAACTAACAAGTGGAGAAAGATGTAAATGTTTATAAGTGCGGTTGTAAGATTTAGAAGACTTTCCAAGAGAATTTTAGTTTTATTTAATTCTTTGGTTCCTCTTCTATTGAGCTTACGATCTCGTCACTTGGGTAAAAAATGTTTTTTGTCATAGAAGTTATTTTTTAAAATAACTTCTGGGGAGAATATCCCAGGCAAAAACAAGGGAACTGATGAGGATTGGTGGCTCTTTCCGAAACCTAGGTATTCCCTGCCTTACCCCCTGGTAAACATTACCATCGTTCTCCACTAATAAACAAACGTTGTTTTTATAAAAACAACAATAAAGGGATAAAGCCAGACCATTTTGCAAAAACAAAATACTACGGTATCCCGAACAAACAAGCCACACTGTTCTATTAATAGACAAGGCACGGTCGACGAAGGGGTTTTTGTTGTAACAGACAAAACCAACTTACATGGTTATGCTACTTCGTTCAGGCTGAACGAAAGCATAACAAGTGGAGAAAGATGTAAATGTTTATAAGTGCGGTTGTAAGATTTAGAAGACTTTCCAAGAGAATTTTAGTTTTATTTAATTCTTTGGTTCCTCTTCTATTGAGCTTACGATCTCGTCACTTGGGTAAAAAATGTTTTTTGTCATAGAAGTTATTTTTTAAAATAACTTCTGGGGAGAATATCCCAGGCAAAAACAAGGGAACTGATGAGGATTGGTGGCTCTTTCCGAAACCTAGGTATTCCCTGCCTTACCCCCTGGTAAACATTACCATCGTTCTCCACTAATAAACAAACGTTGTTTTTATAAAAACAACAATAAAGGGATAAAGCCAGACCATTTTGCAAAAACAAAATACTACGGTATCCCGAACAAACAAGCCACACTGTTCTATTAATAGACAAGGCACGGTCGACGAAGGGGTTTTTGTTGTAACAGACAAAACCAACTTACATGGTTATGCTACTTCGTTCAGGCTGAACGAAAGCATAACAAGTGGAGAAAGATGTAAATGTTTATAAGTGCGGTTGTAAGATTTAGAAGACTTTCCAAGAGAATTTTAGTTTTATTTAATTCTTTGGTTCCTCTTCTATTGAGCTTACGATCTCGTCACTTGGGTAAAAAATGTTTTTTGTCATAGAAGTTATTTTTTAAAATAACTTCTGGGGAGAATATCCCAGGCAAAAACAAGGGAACTGATGAGGATTGGTGGCTCTTTCCGAAACCTAGGTATTCCCTGCCTTACCCCCTGGTAAACATTACCATCGTTCTCCACTAATAAACAAACGTTGTTTTTATAAAAACAACAATAAAGGGATAAAGCCAGACCATTTTGCAAAAACAAAATACTACGGTATCCCGAACAAACAAGCCACACTGTTCTGTAAGTAACAAAGTAAATATATTCATGATCAGCGTAAAATTCTAAGACGATTTGCCCCCGCCCGTTTGTTGTAATCACGCTACAGTCAAAGCGAATAAACATAGGAAGCTAAAATTTTGCAAAGATCAGTCTTTTGTATGCAGGCAGGTCAAGTTCGAAGATTGACTGTATCGGTCCACGATATTGTATAGCCCCCACCGATATTCGGTACCCCCCGATATTCGGTATTTCGATGATTGTAGGTACATTTTTCAATAGAATTATCTAAAAATCCATACTAGAAGTTCTTTGTAAGCACTTTACCCCCTGGAGAAGATATGTTTATATAAGTCCACGATATCGTACAGCCCACATACAACGGTAGCCCCGATATTCGATATTTTTACGATTTTAGGGACATTATTGGCCGGAGTTGTTTAAAATTTCGTATTTAAAGTTTGTAATAGGAACTACAGTCTATAACAGAAAATTGTCGTCGTATAGGCCCCATATATCAGTACCTTCCTATATTCGGTATTTTGACGATTTAAGTTACGATATTCACCGAATTTGTTTGAAATTTCATATTTGAAGTTCCTAACAGATGCTATAGCCTGTGACAAAAATTTGTCTACGGAGGTCCAGGTCCCAATATAACGGTACATCCCTATATTCGGTATTTTGATGATTTTAGCCACATTATACACCGGATTTTTTTTAAGTTTCGTATTCGAATATTGTAATGGCTTATGATAAAAGTTGCCTATGCAGGTCCACGTCTTCGTGCGGACCCAATATAACGGCTATGTTCAGTAATTTCAACATATTAACAGACTTTTTAACGGATTTTATTATTATTATTTTTTTGAAAATTTCCAAATTCGTTCCATATGGCCCGGCCGAACTTACTGCTTTTTTTACTTGTTATTATTTTTGGATTTAAATTCATATAAGCGTAAAAAATTTCTTTACATATGTCCCTAACACGAAGTGGAAACTAGCCTTTTCATACCCTCCACCATGCTATGGAGGGTATATTAATTTTGTCATTCCGTTTGTAACTCCTCGAAATACTCATGTCAGACCCGACAAAGTATATATATTCTTGATCAGCGTAAAATTCTAAGACGATTTAGCTATGTCCGTCTGTCTCTCTGTGTGTCTGTCTGTTGTAATCACGCTATCTTTCGAACAAATTGAGATAGAAGGCTAAATTTTGGCAGACGTGTATATTTTACCAGTACGCAGGTTAAGTTCGTAAATGGACCATGTAGGTCCAAGTTATAATATAGCCCCCATATAACGGTACCTCCCGATATTCGGTATTTTGATGGTTTTAGCGACATTATTTAACGGAATTGTTTGAGACTTGGCATTTGAAGTTCGTAATGGATACTAAAGCCTAAGACAGAAAATTATCTGTGCAGGTCTACGTCTTCGTATAGCCCCCATATAACGGTACCCCCCGATATTCGGCATTTTGATGATTTTAGCGACATTATTTACCGGAATCGTTTCAGTTTTCAAAAAACAATAAAGTGGGTGGAGCTGTTATATGGCAGCCATACCAAAACGGGAACCTATTTTATACTACAAAGAGTTTCATTATTGCGAGTCCAAAATTCCGAATTTGAACAATTCCGTCGGTAAATGTGACTAGGATTATCAAAATACCGTATATCGGTGGGTTCGGTTATATGGAAACAGCTAAACAATATGGACAATGTTTTGAAACCGGTTGGTATCGGAAGGTTCTGTTATATAGGGGCTAAACCAAAACGAGAACCGATATATAATCAACCATCTTAGACAGAATACAAAGTATTGTGCTAAATTTTAAAGCTCTACGTCAAATATTGTGGGCTGTATCGTGATTTCAACAGACTGACAGACAGACGGACAGAGAGACAGACGAACATCGTTAAATCGACATAGAAATTTATTTATTGCTGTGAGAAGGTTTTTATGAAAGAAAAAGAGAAAAGTCTAAAGAAAAGTCGGGATATTAATTTGAAAGTGTTTTTCGATAAAGAATTTGGCAAGTTTGTTCGTGATAGCGTCGTATTTTGTTTTTGCAAAGCAGTCAGGCTTAATCCCATTATTGTTGTTTTTATAAAAACAACTTTTATTTATTAGCGAAGAAGGATGGTAATGTTTACCATGGGGTAAGGCAGGTTTTCGGAAAGAATAGAGAATACATTTTTTTGTGGAATTCTACTATAGTGGCTTTTCAAATCGAAAAATTGGAAACTCTTTGCGGAAAAAATATCGGATAAGATGCCAATTGTGTATGTTATTGCTAATTTGTTGATGGGCTGTAGGATAGACCTACCAATTTTTTTTTTTGATATGTTAAAATTTTTCACGCAATGGAAGGGATTGCACTATATTTTGTTAAATATTTATTGTTTGTTCATTTCGTTCCGAAAATTAAATAGACGTACTCCAAAATGTCTTTAAAAAAACTACGTTGAAATATTGATTAAACCTGGCAACTCTTTTCCACGGCAATGGTTAGTTTGTTTGATGTGCATATATGTGAGCATACTTTTAGGCGCAAATCAATATTATTTGATCTCTCAAATATATTGAGCGTTTGGAAAATATTTGCATCAGCGCTAGGTCAGTTGCAAAAATGGACAATATCAGTCCCCTCCATCAAGTACCTCCCCCACAAAGTGTCAAAAATTTGAATAATTATGAGTCTTTTAAAATAAGAAATAATAGTCCGATTGTCTTCAAATTAGACATATCACAATATTTGTATTAACCCAAGGTCTGGTGTTAAGATAGAATATATCGGTCCACTCTTTCTGGTACCTCCCCCACAAAGGGTCAAATTTTTGAATATCCATGAAGCTCATAAAACACGAAATTAAAAGCCGATTCCATTAAGACTTGGCACATCTCAATATTTCCATTAACACAAAATCTGCTATAAAGATGGTAGAGATCGGACCATTTCTTCTGGTACCTCCCCCACAAAGGGGCAAAATTTTGAATAGCCAAAACGATCATAAAATCCATAAATAAGCATCTGGTTCTCTTCAAATTATAAACATCACAATATTTTTTTTCTTAAGTTAAGGTCTGGTGTGAAAATGGGATATATCGGTCCACTCTTTCTGGTACCTCACCCACAAAGGGTCAAAATTTTGAGTATCCATGAAGCTCATGAAAAGCGAAATTAACATCCGATTCCATTCCAGACTTGGCACATCTCAATATTTCACATCAACACAAGATCTGTTATAAAGATGGTGGAGATCGCGCCATTTTTTTTTTCTTTTTTTGGTACCTCCCCCACATAGGGTTCAAGATTTTGAAAAACAAAACGCTCTAAGAAAGCTAAATAAGCATCCAAACCCCTTTAAATTTCACACATACACATATTTTTCTAACGCGAGATCTGTCATGAAGATGATATACATCTGCCAACCCCTTCTGGTACCTCACCCACAAAGGGTCACAATTTTCAGTATTTTATCTGTCATAACTTGCGAAACAAGTCAGCATGCTTTATCTAAATATTTCACTTAACCAAAATCAACAGTTTGAAAAATCATAACTCAAGGCTGGGGGTATACATCTGTCGGCAAAACCTACTGATACTATTTTATTAATTTTTTTTATACCCTGCACCATACTATGGAGGGTATATTCATTTTGTCATTCCGTTTGTAACTTATCGAAATAATGATCTTAGACCCAACAAAGTATATATATTCTTGATCAGCGTAAAATTCTAAGACGGGTTAGCCATGTCCTTGTGTCTGTCTGTTCGTCTGTTGTAATCACACTATCTTTCGAACGAATTGAGATATAAGGCTAAAATTTGGCACATATGTTTATTTTTGCAGTTCCACGTCTTCGTATAATCCCCATATAAATGTACCTCCCAATATTCGCCGGAATTGTTTTAAACTTGGAGTTTGAAGTTCGAAATGGATACTACAGCCTAAGGCAGGAAATTGTCTATGCAGGTCCACGTCTTCGAATAGCCCCCATATAACGGTACATCCCGATATTCAGTATTTTGAGGATTTTAGCGACATTATTTACAAGAATAAATTATTATTATTCAAAAGAATTTTTAAAATGTTAACAGAATTTTTGGCGAATGTTATTTTTTCGAAAATTTTCAAATTTTTTCTAAATGGTGGAGGGTATTCAAAGCTCGGCTCGGTCGAACTTACTGCTTTTTTACTTGTTTTTTATATAAATTATATAATATTAAATAATTGTTTTGTTTATAACAACGTTTCAACATTGTGATTCCCACACAAAATATATTTTCCTAAAAGAATGTTGATTGTATGTGTATTAGTGCGGGTGGCCCACACATATATTGGGTACATAATTAAATCTTCGCTGTAGATTGAACTGAGTAAAGTTTTCTAAATAACTTCATTGTTAATCTCCCATGAATCTGGCAATTTCCACGATACATTCGAATATACACCAAATGGCCTTAGAGAGTATAACAAATAGTCTAGTGTATAAAATTCTCGCCAATCTGTGTAATGAAAAGATACAGCATAGGGTGAGCAGCAACTGACAGTCTGAAATGAAAAATGGAAGAATCGATTTAGAGTTATATTATAGAGAAGATAAAACCCTGCTATCTCTGTCTGGCTCCTTACTCACTTCATTTGCCGAATGGTAAATATCGCTGTCATACCATTCCATTTTGAAGTCGGGAATAACATGTATCGGAGCTAAGGGTATAAAACGTTCCTTAAGCTCGTCGTCTCTAGAATCTCCGGCAATAACATCGATATTTCTTAAACATTTACTCAGACCCATATTTTCATCAGTTTCCAATTGATCACAAAGTTCACTGTTGTTATAAGCTTCATTTGCGAATTTCACCAATGCATGTTTACTCAGAACATAACCAGCACCACCGGACATAAATTCCTGGAAATAACAAAAACGAATTGTTTAATAAATCTTGTTAATATATAGTAGTCTAAGGGATATAGTTACTTACAGGTTCTTCTGGCCTTTTCACCTTGCATCCGAAATATAGAGGATCGTCTGCAGAATATCCATGCAGAAACATACGAAGGTTTTCCATAACCACATAACTAAAAGAAAAAGTAAACTCCTCCATATTAATTCGGTTGTTGAACAAATTTTGAGGTAAAGATTTGGGCTAAGGAACTACAGGGTGACATGAAACAACTACAACTAAATTCAGACCGCTGTCATTTCTAAGCTACTCGTCCGACAGCTATTAAAATTATTCCAGTGAAAGCTCATTATATTGTTTACAAGCATACCAAAGCAATTTGGTGAGAATTTTCCAGAAGTTATTCGTGATGGAATTCAAGCGTGATAGCGTGATTTCTTTATATTTGGCTGGAAAACCACAAGTGGCTATCGTTAGAATACTCCGGCATTTAAATGTGAATAAATCTTTTGTGTTCCGCACCATCGCTCGTTACCGTGATACTGGTAGGGTAGCCCGACGTCGAGGAAGTGGACGGAAGAAAACAGCAACATCAGCAGAAATGGTTCAAAAAGTAAAGAAGCGACTTGATCGAAACCCTCGTCGCAGTGGCAATGCCGAAAAATGGCTCGTGAGCTGAATATATCGCAATATTCCATTCGGCAAATATTGAAAAATGAGCTCGGGGTAAAGCCATCGAAATTCCAAAAAGTTCAAGAACTTACAACGCAACAGAAAGAAAATAGATTCAAAAGAGCTAAAGACTTGCTTCGCTTGGCCGAAAGTGGTAAATTGCCGAATTTGGTTTTCTCCGATGAGAAAATATTCGCTGTCCAGCAGTTTGTAAAAAAAAAACAAAATGATCGAGTTTACTTGCCAAAGAGCTCAGCTGAAAATGTGCACCTTCGGTTGGCCACCAGAACTTAAGCGCCGGCGATGGTGATGGCGTGGGCCGCCATAACAGCCGACCGTGGCATCGTGGAATATTATCGCGAAAATATTCTTGAGGGTGTATTAAAGCCTTGGGTACGCAAATATTTTCACCGCAGACCTTGGACATTCCAACAGGACTCAGCACCATCGCACTCAGCACGCGCCACCCAAGAATGATTACAAAATGAGGTTCCTCGCTTCATTTCCAGCGCACAATAGCCACCAAAATCTCCGGTTACCAATCCGTTCGACTATTGTGTCTGGAGTATTTTGAAAAGCAAGGTTGGCACTAAAAAATACCAAAGTGTCGATCGCCTACCGCAGAGCAACATTCGGGCAGCGTGTGACGGTTTCATTGGCCGTTTGAAGGCCATAATTCGTGTACTTATTCTAAAATTTGTTGCTATTTCCGACATTTTTGCTTTAAAAATTCAAAATTTTCAATACATATATCTCGCATAACTTGCGAAACAAGTTGGTGATTCTTTTCGACCTTGGTATATTTACATATTTTGCTCAACCAGAGATCTGATGTGAGTATGGAATTTATCGGCTTACTGCTTCTCACACATCCTCTTCAGGAGGTTATACCCAAAAATAGGTAATAGATGTCTGAATTTCTTCAAATGTTTCAATTTGTGGCGAGGTACCAGAAGGTGTGGGCCGATATATTTTTTTTTTCACACCAGATCTCGTGTTGGTAGAAATGTTAAGATATGCTAAATTTGAAAATACTCGGATGCCCATTTCAGGTTTTATGAGCTTAATGTTTTTTTTTTTTTTTTTTTTTTTTTGGGAGATACCACTGGGAGTGGTCCGATATCTACCGTATACACAACAACATTGGATGATCATTTCACGTTTTATTAGCTTCATGGCTATTCAAAATGTTGACCCGTTGTGGGGGAGGTACCAGAAGGAGTGGGCTGATATCTACCATTTTCACATCAGAACTTGTGTTAGAAGATGTGTAATGAATGAATCGGCGGCTTATTACGAATTTTATAAGAAATATAATTAATCAAAATGCTAACCCTTTGTGGGGAGGAACCTGAAATAGTATTTCGATAAATCCCGGCTTCACACCAGTCCTTTTGTTGAAGAAAATATTTGGATATGCGAAATTCGAAGATAATCACGCTCTTATTTCACATTTTATAAGTGTCATAATCATTCAAAATTTTGATTCTTTGTGAGGAAGGTACTTGATGGCGTGGACCGATATTGTCTATTAGGATTGCAAAGTTGGCGCAAAATCGGACCATGCTTTATCTTTCTGGGCAGCAAAATATTTTTTTTTTGATAATTTCGACCTTTTGTGAGGGAGGTATCAGAAGGAGTGGATATTGCCTATCTCCGAACTCGATCTAAGTTTGATAACAATATTATGATGTACCAAGTTTGGACCTAATCTGATACTCCGAAGAGACCTAGGGTCGAAACCCGTTATTTCGATGAGACACATATTGGCCCTATCAAATGGGCCGTTATTGAAAAAATGTTTACCATCTAGTGCTTTCATACACTCCACTATAGACGATCTTCAAATATTCGTTGGACGCCCCATAAAAAAATCCATATTTTCAATACATCAAAAGAGTGAGTTCCAATAACCAACCAAATCAGCCAAACCAAATCTAATATTCTAGTTTTCAATGCGTATTTTGAATTTTTTTGAAATTCCCATTGGAACTGGAGATATGACATCAGAATAGGAGGTACCTCCCAAAAATTTAGATATTATATGCACATATCTATTGACAGATTACCGATACAGTCTCCAAATTTGGAACGGGTAATGGAATTTGAAACAAAAACAAATTTGCCAAATTATATTGAAATCGGTTCAGATTTTGACATATTCAACCGCTTTCATGTATTTCATGAACCAAACACGATACGTATATCCGATTCCAATGAAATTTGGCATGAGTGACTAAATTTGGTACAAAAATAAGTTTGTAAAATTATATTGAAATCGGTTCAGATTGGAATATAGCTCCCATATATATTTTCCACCTATTCTAGATATTTGATGCACCCAATGTGATTTGTATGATTGTGATTTGTGAGACAAAATTTTAGTACCAAAAATTTTTTTCCAAATTATGTTGATATCGGTTGAGGTTTGGGTATAGCTCATATACATATATTTCGGCCGATTTCATGTATGTTATGCACCAAACACGATATGTATTTCCGATTCCAATGAAATTCAGAATGTGTGGCGGAATTTGGTTCCAATAATAAATTTGACAAATTAATTAGAAATTGGTTAAAATTTGGATATAGCTCCCATATATACTCTCGGTCGATTTCACATATTTGATGCATACCAATTTCAATGAAATATGGAAGGTGTGACGGAATTTGGTGTAAAAGTAAATTTTTGGGAAAGGATTTTATTAAGAAGCATAGAACCACAACGCCTTTGCAATGGTATTAATCTAACAGTAAAAAACTACACAACAATTTAATTGAGGATACGATTATTACGAGGAAGTATGTTGCTACCTCAAATTCTCTAATTGCAACAGAAATGCCATTCAACTTAAAAAGATTGCAGTTTTCTGCACGCTTTGCAATTGCTATGAAATTAATAAATCCGAAGGACATGCGGACTAAATTTGGCATGTTCCTGCTTTTCTCATGGTCAGCTGTTGTTGGCATGTTCACGCATTGGTAGACTATTTGTTTGTTTGCGCATAAAAGTTTAACAATAATTACGTTTTTTAATTTTTTGAATTTACCTCATATTTTTTTTAAACAAAAAGCTAGTAGTCTATAGGACAATGTTTTCCCATAGGTACCACATAAAGGTACCTCCGATGGTAGGTATATTAATAATTTTAGCCACATTCCTTCACGGAATTGCTTCAAATTTGTTATTTGAAGACTTCAATGGAATTCGTTTGAATATTGAGTATATATAACTATATAATTATAAATACAGTTTTTTTATCTCATTGTGGATGATATTAAACGTTTTGGCCCAGCCGAACTTAACGTTTTCATTTTCGCTTGTTTTGTTTATATTTGTTTTAATTTAAATATATTATAAAATTTCTCGCTACTTACGTATCATCGTCAGCTTTTAAAAACCAGTCGGCATCATTTAAATGATAATCATAAATGTATTTTAGAGCCAATCTTGTTTTGTTCCACAAGTGATCGGGTCCCTCCTCAACGGGCAATGCAATGCTGGGCAATGTTTCATCAGATTGTGAGCTCATGAAGAGCAGAGTATTGCAGCGGCGTCCCCATGTGTTACGAATGTGTATGGCTCGACTCTGGTGATAATCTGGTTGAGTCATTATCCAACAGAGGACTCGGGTGGTATTGAACAAATACTCAATAATATTGTCGTCGGAGTTTTGTTCATTAGCATCATTCTTCCAAATATTTTGTTGGAAAACTGCAGGATCTGATATGGGACTCCCTTCGTTGTTTACTTTTGGGGGTGTTTCCTGTATCGTTATAATTCTATGACATTGATCCGTTTGATTAAATACGACCAGTGTAAATTCTATGCCAATAATTAAACCAATTGCCAAATATAAAAGGCTTTTGAAAATTGAACGCACTGACGTTAGGTTCGTTGATGTGGATGCTGATTGTATCATCTTTTCCGTTGTGAATTTACCGTTTGGACGTTTGTTTTTTAAATGAGATACATCTGATAGCTTTGCATTATTCGCGTGAACTGACCAGTGCAAAATAAAAAGAATTTGTTATGGCTAAATTGGAGAGACTGCAAAAAGGGGTATAAGAGAAACACTGCTAGATGAATTCTTGATGCTAATTATAAATGCTTAATATTATACATATCAAAACTTGTCGAATTCAAAATCCATTTCTATGTATGTTCCTGGAAAAGAAGTATATATACCAAATGGTATTACATTTAATACCATTGGTATCAGGTGAACGGATGGTACTAGAAAATCTTTATTCGATATGAGAACCAAGTCTGAAAAAATGTATTAGAGTAAGTGTAAGAGTACTAAATTTGTTTAAATGCGTACTCACCGGGGTGAGATGAAAAAACTGCAACCAAATTCAGACTGCTGTCATTTCTGGTGAGAACTTTCTAGAAAAAAAAGTTATTCGTGATGGAATTCAAGCGTGATAGTGTGATTTCTTTATATTTTTGCTGGAAAACCACAATAGGCTATCGTGAGAGAACTCCAGCATTCGAATGTGAATAAATCTTTTGTGTCTCGTACCGTCGGTCGTTACCGTGATACTGGTAGCGTAGCCCGACGTCAAGAAAGTGGACGGAAGAAAACAACAACATCATCAGAAATGGTTCGAAAAGTAAAGAAGCGACTTGATCGAAACCCGCGTCGCAGTGGCCGAAAAATGGTTCGTGAGCGGAACATATCGCAATATTCCATTCGGAATATATTGAAAAATGAGGTCAGGGTAAAGCCAACAAGTAAAAAAGCTGGCCCGGGCCAAACTTTGAATACCCTCCACCATTTGGAACGAATTTGGCAAAAAAATAATATTCCGTTAAAGATTCTGTTAAAATAGAACAGTGTGGCTTGTTTGTTCGGGATACCGTAGTATTTTGTTGTTGCAAAATGGTCTGGCTTTATCCCTTTATTGTTGTTTTTATAAAAACAACGTTTGTTTATTAGTGGAGAACGATGGTAATGTTTACCAGGGGGTAAGGCAGGGAATACCTAGGTTTATAAAAACAACAATAAAGGGATAAAGCCAGACCATTTTGCAACAACAAAATACTACGGTATCCCGAACAAACAAGCCACACTGTTCTATTAATAGACAAGGCACGGTCGACGAAGGGGTTTTTGTTGTATCAGACAAAACCAACTTACATGGTTATGCTACTTCGTTCAGGCTGAACGAAAGCATAACAAGTGGAGAAAGATGTAAATGTTTATAAGTGCGGTTGTAAGATTTAGAAGACTTTCCAAGAGAATTTTAGTTTTATTTAATGTTTTTGTCATAGAAGTTATTTTTAAAATAACTTCTGGGGAGAATATCCCAGACAAAAACAAGGGAACTGATGAGGATTGGTGGCTCTTTCCGAAACCTAGGTATTCCCTGCCTTACCCCCTGGTAAACATTACCATCGTTCTCCACTAATAAACAAACGTTGTTTTTATAAAAACAACAATAAAGGGATAAAGCCAGACCATTTTGCAACAACAAAATTCTGTTAAAATTTTAAAAATACCGAATGCAGCCATTATATTAGGGTCTATATGTATCTAAAATCATCAAAATACCGAATATATGGAGGTATCATGAGGGCTATACCAAAACGTGGACCTGTACAGATAATTTTCTGTGATAGGCTGTAGTATCCATTATGAACTTCAAATACTAAATTTGAAACAATTCCGATGAATAATCTCGATAAAATCATCAAAATACCGAATATCGGGAGGTACCGCCATATGGGGGCCCACTTTCAATACTAAAAGTACTGTAGACATAATATATATTTGAGTAAAATTTTATCAATCTACTTCAATTCGTTCGGAAGGTAGAGTTATTTCCACAGACGGATAGACGGATCGACACCGCCAAATCGACATAGAGTTTGATGCTGATCAAGAATATATATACTTTGTAAGGTCTAAAATATATATTTCGAGGTGTTACAAACGGAACGACAAACTTAATATACCCTCCATACTATGGTGGAGGGTATAAAAATTGCAAGTGGAGTTGATCATTGTTCAGATGAATTTATATTTTTGAAATTTCTTATTTAGGCGTTCATTAGTGTTAATTAATGTTTTTTAATGACGTTTTGGAAATTGGTACTAGAGTTGTAAGCACGAAAAATGGTATAGCGACAATTTTTCAATTTCAGTAAATAACCAGTAAGGAAAAGTCAAAATCACTATGCATATTTAGCAGAACTCCCGTAACAAAAGAATTTATTTGAAGAAGATCATACCACCTATCAAAATTTGGCGCCAGAGTAGTTAAAGTTCGGTTCGGTTCGAGGAAACTAATAAATGGAAGGCATATCCAATTTTGAAACGATTTTCACTCAAGTTCGGCCCTTCCACCATTCAGAAGGAACTTGAAAAATTTAGCTGGATAAGTAATTTTCTGTTATAGAACAAAGCAATGATTCCGAACTTCAAATACGAAATTCAAAACGATTTCGGTGAATAATGTCGCTAATATTATCAAAATACCGAATGAAGGGGGGGGGGGGGGGGGGGTATCGTACGGGGGCTATAAAAAGACGTGGACCTGTGTAGATATCTCGGGGTAGCGTTATATGGGTGCTATACTAAAAAGTAGACCTCTCCTCTGTTCTTCTCTTCAGGGGGTACAGTACCCACAGAGAACTCCTTGCGTAGAATTTCAGATAATGCCACTGAAAATGTGACTTAAATCATAAAAATACCAAATGTCGGAAGGTACACTTATATGGGGGATGTAGTCACAGAGAACTCCTCGTGTAGAATTTCAGACAATTCCACTGAAAATTGTGCTTGAAATCATCAAAATACCTAATATCGGGTGGTACCGATATCGTGGAGCGATATAACCAATCTTCGAACTTAATCTGCCTGCACACAAAAGACTGATCTTTTCAAAATTGTAGCTTTCTTTCTTAATTCGTTTTGACTCTAGCGTGATTACAACAGGCGGACAGATGGACAGACAGGGCTAGTCTTAGAATTTTACGCTGATCAAGAATATATATACTTTATTGGGTCTAAAATAAAAACAAATATGTATGGTGGAGGGTATAAAAACATGTATCGGAGCCGAGTTCCACAAGATGGAAGCGTACGTCCCGAAATTCATTCATTTGGGCTGATATTAGCCATTATTTGCACAATAAACCTAAAATCGGATTAAGGATATATGGGAGCTATGTCCAAAAAAGCAAATGAATTTTCGAGCTCTATAAGATATCTGGTACCAAATATCATTGTTGTCGAATGCATATTACGAATGTGAAGGACTTAAGCACCAAATCGGGCAAAACATATATATGGGAGCTATAGCAATATCTGAACCGATTTTCTCCAAATTTTATGTTCTTGCTTCCAGACTGAATTTAATCGGATGTGCCAAAAATTGTTTGAAAACTTTTATCTCAATCGGATAATAATTTCTTTCACAACAATACAATGCGTAGACGGACTGACGTGCATAAATCTACTCAGAAAGTGATTCTATGAAAATCCTCAAAAGTAACTATTTAGACCCATCGCTCTTCCTTCTCCATGTTACAAACAAATGTACAAAGACAAAATACCCTTAACACTATGTGGTTTAGGTTATAAAAAGAGCTAAATATTGTGCCACTGATATTTTTTCAGAACAGTTAAAAAGTATCAGTTGACTTTGCCGACAGATATATACCTTCTGCCAATGTTCGATTATTGATGAAGTAGGTTCCGAAAGAATGGGACAATATTGTCCATTACGTGTCAGACCTAAATAAATATTGAGACGTGCCTAGGTTAAACTATTTTGGTTACTTCCTTCACTTTGTATGAAATATGTGATAATTTTTAGAAAATGTTAAAACGTTCGTGCACCCCAGATATAGACGACCGACATATTAAATTTTCATACTTCATCTAATACAGCTAAAAATATTGATATGGGAAAAAATAACAAAAAAATCGAAAATTTATATCCAATTTTATGCGAAATCCATATTCACCTCATGTTTCTTGTTGAGAGAAGTATTTAAATATAGCAAGTTGTAAAAAATCGCTAGTTATGACAAATAAAAATATTGAAAATTGTGATCCTTTGTGGGTGTAGTTCCAGAAGAAGTTGCAGATATATATCATCTTCACAGCAGATTCTGTGTTAGCAAAAATATTTGGATGTGTAACATTTGAAGAGAATTGGATATTTCGCGTTGAAAAATCTTGAACCCTATGTGTTGTGTTGATGGAAATATTGAGATGCACCAATTCTGAATGGAATCGGATGTTAATTTAGCTTTTTATGAGCTTCATGGATATTCAAAATTTTGAGCCTTTGTGGGGGAGGTACCAGAAGGAGAGGACCGATATATTCCGTCTTAATACAAGATCTTGGGTTCATAAAAATATTAGGATGTGTGTAATTTGACGACAATCGGACTCTTATATCACATTTCGTTAAAATTATAATTATTCAAAACGTTGACCCTTTGTGGGGAAGGTACTTGATGGAGTGGACCGATATTATCCATGTTTGCTCCATTTTATAAGAGTTGTAATTATTCAAAATTTTGATCGTTTTTGGGTAAGGTACTTGATGGAGTGGGCCGATATTGTCCATTTTCGCACCTGACCTAGCACTGACGCAAATAATAGGAAATTCAAAATCGGATAATCCTTTCTCTTTCTGTGCAGAAAATATATTTTTTGAAAATTTCGATATTTTGTGGTGGAGGTACCAGAAGGAGTGCATCGATATTGCCCACCTCCGAACTCGTTCTACGTTTGACAATAATATTACGATGTACCAAGTTTGGATCAAATCGGATTATCCAATTTATTTACATTTGTTCAAAATATTGATCCGTTGTGGGGGAGGTATCAGAAGGAAAAGTTCATTCTATCCGTTCTTCATACCTGTTCTTGTGTTGGTAGAAATATTGGGATGTGCGGAATTTGAAGACAATAGGTCTTTTATTTCACAATTTATAATAGTTAATGTTATTTAAAATTTTGACCTTTGTGGAGGAGCTACCGGAAGGCGTGAG